GGGCCAGTTTTGAACCCACCAGCCTCAGTGTATGTGGCAGGCACCCTACCCACTGAGCTACAGGCACTGCCCAAAATTCAAATATTTTAAACTGCATTTATGTGTTTAAGGGTGTAAATGTAAAACATTCTGTTTCCTTTTAAAGTACCTCATTATTGACTTGTATAAAACCTTGCTGAGTACTTAATAATTGTTATAAAGCCATCAAATTAAATTTATGGAGGGGATTTAAAGACCTTGGAGATACTATAAAAGTATGTATAAACTTCAAAACATTTCAGCCTAAAATCAGAAAATCAGTTACTCATTTTAAAGTTATTTTCAAAAATTGTAACCCTAATAGGTCAGGAGTACAGAAAAGATCAAATATGTACAAAAATATTAATAACATATCTTTGATGCTTTAAACCTTTCTATATTTAATTTTTTAATCTTCCTAGAGTTGAATAATGCATACTCAACAAGAAAGAAAATTACTTAGAAATAACTGAGGTCATTTTCAAGCAGATGTTTTGACACAGCTGCAGCCTCCAGAGCAATTTACATCCCTGCCGACTATTGTACTGAGCCCCTTTTTAGAGTAGCTGTGTTATGAGTTACAAAACTTAACAAGGGTTGGGTCTCATAGATCCCACCACTTACATTCCTGGATGCAAGTTATACATGGTGCCTGATTCTCAATCCATTCAAGCAGATGGGATTGAGACAGCCAGGTTGATCTTTGATCTTTAAGGTAGGTAGCTATACAGTAGAACCTCCATAGTTGACCACCTCCTTAAGTTGACCTAATTTTCATAGACTAGAGATACATCACATGTACATATCAGTACAGTAGGCCTAGTTCCTACTGCATAACATCTCCATATGTTGAAATATTTGTTATAATCCCTTGGGTGGTCAGCTTATAGAGGTTCTACTATATTTTCCATCTAAATGTTAAAGACTTTTGAATTTGATAGAGTTCTAAGATTTGTATTTTCTTTCTATCTAATGATACCTTTAAACTTGATAGCCAAAAGTAAATAAATCGATTTCATATTTAATAATAAAGACCTTTTAATGGAGTACTAGATATGTAAATATCTTTCCTATTTAAAGAGTTTATGGGGAGTGGACAGGAAATTGAGAGAGGTCCCATCCGATGGTTTCTGTTTTCTCTATGAATTAGGATGTGAAGTTATCTATTGAAGGAAGTGGGAGTTACGTGGGAGAGAAGCTTTAAAATAACTGCATTTGATAATAGATTTGAGATCCGTGCTGGTTACTTTACAGTCTCATAAGTGTGTGACATAAAGGTCATTTAAAGTGGAGACAATATTAATGATGACATACATTTATAATTCATGTTTAAAGTTTAGTTTATGTTTTTATATTAGATGTGTATTTAGTCATTAGAGAATTTGCCATTGGTGACAAATATTCTTTGTAGCTAATTGAGAAGTCACAGCTCAATGTAAAAGGACTTTATTAATAAGGCAATTGAAGTAGTCACTTATACAGCAAAAAGTTCTAGATTCATTTAACATTTATTTCCATTTGCTAGTCAATTGCCAGCTGTCAGAGCATAATAAATATTGTAAATTTGAGTCAGAAGCTGTCACCCCTAACTGTATTAACTCTTCCTAATCATGGGTAGTGATTTGTCTTCTGAAAGAGTGATATTAATCACCAACTTCAAATTGCCACAGGGTTCCATTGCTAAAGTGCAGTAATCAGTGTAGACACCAAAAATGAAAGCAGACGGTCATGATTCATGAGTATTTCCATTCGTGTTAACAAGCTTCTCATTGTTTCCAGACGGAAAGAAAATAATGACGGCCAACTTTCAAAGCTTTTTGCTTCTTAGTCCTAAAAATACAGTTTCGTATTATTATTACTAGCTAATGTTTATGGAGTATTTATTATATGCCAGGCGCAATGCTTACCACTTTATACAGTTTTATTTCAGTCCTTACGATAACCTGTGAGGTTATTGGTTCTTGTACGTACAGTTCTTCTTTATTGAAATGAGGAATGAAGGCTTAAAATAACTTGCTAGTCCAAAATGGCGAAGCCTGGGGTCAAGTCCAATACATTATAGAAATGTATTTAATTCCATAACCTTTTCTCTTGACTAGTACTTTACATTGATGGGTGGAACTTGGTATTTACTAAATGAAGCAGTTTGGAATGTAGGTGGAAGTACTAAAATCTAACGTATGGTAGTTTACAAAACAGCTATTTTTTCCCCCATTTAGTAGAAAGAATGGAGAGGGGCAGCTTCTCACCTTGGTTTAGTAGCTCAGCAGAGCTAGGAACAGTGGCTCTGTGACTGCTTGGCCTTTTCCTCCTAGCAGCAAAAATGATCACTTCAGTTTCAAGGGTCACGTTTATACTCAGGGAAGGAAAAAGGGAAGGGGAGAATGTTGCCACTAGCTGTAACTGTATAATCAATCAGGAAAGCAAAGGCTTTCTCATTTATAAGTATATCTCTTTGGTCAAAAACTGCTTTTCATGGCCACTCTTATCTGCAAGGATGGAAGATTGTCAGGGTGAAGGGAGGGACCAGCTGGAGGTTGAACATTATAGAATCTACAAACTCCATGAGAATTTTTCACTTCCTCCTTAACTTCTTTTTCTTTCTTTGTTGAGTGAAAGGGCTATGATTCTCCATATAGTTAACTCCTAATGTATTTATACTGGCCTTGTTTTCTATAATGTATTCGCAGACATAAATCAGTGGTTTCACTAATTGAGTCAGAATTCGTTGGTTGCAAGTAACAGAAATGCATCCACACCTAACTGAGAAAATGGACGCATTTCAGCCATTTATTCAACAGATATTTCATAAGCACTTGTTATATTCCAGATACTCTTCTGAGCCTCTGGGGATCTATCAGTGATCCAAACATATAAAAAAAAAACAAAACAAAACAAAAAATGAACAGTGAGCAAGAATGAGGGAATCTCATTGACTCCCAGGGACAAGAATGCAGCAGGGCCTTGGGGAGGGACAGAAACCAAGGACTGAGAAGCCATCGGAAATCCAACCAGGTCTTCTGAACTTATCTCCTTCATGCTGCTCACTCTGCTTTCTCTTAATATTTAGTCTTCATAGAGGGAGGGATATAATATGGTCACCGGCATACCGAGTTTTCATCTTGTATTCCAGCAAACAGCTTACACTGAATCACAATCTCTCAGTCCCAATTCCAAAAACCTAAGCAAAAGAATTTGCATCCAGCAAAGCCAGGGACAGTCTAACCCATCCATGTGTTACAGGGGTCATTGTAAGTGGAGGGGACACATCAAATGAAAGGTCTCTACCTCCCAGATACCAACACTTCTCTAGACACTTTGTCCTTCACCCATCCCAGAGCTCTGCCTACTGTCCCAGAGGCTCCAACATTAACTCCACGTTAAGGGCACCTTCGCTCAGCTCTGTAAGAACTGCCTCCCCCCCCCCTTTTTTTTTTGCAGTTTTTGGCTGGAGCTAGATTTGAACCCACCACCTCCAGCATATGGGGCCAGTGCCCTACTCCTTTGAGCCACAGGTGCTACCCCTGGGCCTGCTCATTTTGAACCTTTCCAAATCATTCTTGTGCCCTAATGTTTTATCTTTTCCCCCACATAGCCCTGTCCTTGCCTTCCAGACAGTGGGAGAGAATTGAGGCACAGTTAACACCAACCTCCCTTCTCACTTCAAACTAAGCCCTCAGAAGCCAACACCACCACTAATCAGTTTGATTCCAAAGTATACATTGCAGCAAGGGTCAGGATTTTTTATTACCCTTATAAACTTTAAGCCATTGAGATGTGATCATTGATAATTATTTTTAAGCCTTCTCCTTGTTTCAAATCAACGGGTGTTTTTCCATTCAGGAATAAACTAAATTACTGACCTGCAGCTGATGTGTTTTTTTATAGGCTGTGGATCCCCGTCCAGGTGGAGGAGGGTGGGCAGGCTGGGGCTCCTGGGGCAAGTCTCTGCTCTCATCTGCATCTGCCACAGTAGGTAAGTGTTACACTCTGCTCTGGGGCAGACCAAGTCTGGAAGCTGAATAGGATGGGACATTTTGATTGTACCTTAATACCAGTGGGGCTTAACATTGGCACATAAGCAAACCATTTTTAGTGCTTACTGTTCTAAGTGCTTCATTCATTCCTTAACTACATTTATTCCTCAAAATAACCCTATAAGAAGGCACTTGTATTCTCTCCATTTTTCAGATAAGGAAGCTGAATCACAGGGAGACTAAGATTTTGACCAAAGTCAGAAATGTCTGGGTTGGAATTTAGAAACCAAATAGTATGTCTTTTAACCACTGTATTATATTGTCTTTTACATATAAGATTTGGGCTTTTATAACATGATGGGGGCTTTTTCTGTTTTGTTTTGTTTTGTTTTGACAGAATCTCACTCTCTTGCCCTGGTGTGCCATGGCGTCATAGCTCACAGTAACCTCATACTCTTGGGCTCAAGCAGTTCTCTTATCTCAGCCTCCCAAGTAGCTGGGACTTTAGGCGCCCACCACAAACACCCTGCTGTTTTTAGAGACGGAGTCTCGCTCTAGCTCAGGCAATCCACCCGCCTCAGCCTCCTAGAGTGCTAGGATTACAGGCATGAGCCACCATGCCCAGCCTTGATTTTAAATTTTTTTTTTTTTTTTGAGACAGGAGCCTCAAGCTGTCCCCCTGGGTAGAGTGCCGTGGCATCTCAGCTCACAGCAACCTCCAACTCCTGGGCTCAAGCGAGCCTTCTGCCTCTGCCTCCCAAGTAGCTGGGACCACAGGCACCCGCCACAACGCCCGGCTATTTTTTGGTTGCAGCCGTCATTGTTGTTTGGCGGGCCCGGGCTGGATTCGAACCTGCCACCTTGGGTGTACATGGCTGGCGCCTTAGCCACTTGAGCCACAGGCGCCAAGCTGATTTTAAATTTTTAAAGAAACTTTTTGTATTTGTTCTTATACAAAGAGAAAGTATAATGGACAATGTCTCCATCAGTATTGGTTCATCAAGATACTCTTCATGTTACCTGTCTACTCTTTATAAAAACTGAAGGTTTTTATCAGCTGTCTAAGATAATTTAGCAAGTCATTTCATCGTGAAAGTGGAGGGGAAGGGGAAGGCAAGAGAAGCCCCAGGTAACAGCGCTTTCAAGTTATCTACCTTAGTTATTCTCAAGGTACAGTCCTGGCTATGAGGCTATCATGATAGGCTATGAATTGGTCCAATTTCCTGTTACTCCTAACACCAAGAGGGATAGGAAGGCCTTGGTGTCACCACCCCAATGGATCAAGGTCAGAAAGAGGTCAGACATCAAACCTGATGGAACTTAGCCTGTCTGGAAGAAGGGGTAGATTGATTCTCCAAATTCCATTTCTGTCAAATATTAGTTTCTTAGGAGGGCTCTGGCAAAAAATAGATAGTGGCCAAATCAATGTTGACTTCTCTGGTGAGAGCCTGGAGAATAGATGTTTCTCTATTACTAATTGAAGGGGACAGGTATGCCTTAGATACCACATATCCAGATGACAAAATTAACCAAATTAAGGTTGAAGAATCTGTTTTGTTTTATAAACAGGAGAGAGTCTCTTCCCAAGGGTGAGGAAAAGAACCTGTGGGCATCCTCCTTTGAAAAATGTTTGCACTTTTAGTGGCTATGAAATGGCTTGAGCAGCTAGCAACACTCAGGGGTGACATGCATTTTGAAATAAGAACTCAAAATGGTGACTTGAAAATATTTTTTAATCGGAATAAGTCATGGAAAAGTAAATAATACAGTCACTAAAATTTTACAGCTCTCATAGTTTTGATCATAAAACAATGAAGTGTCCTGGACGCTTCCAGTTATAACCAAATGGTGTGCAAACCACTCTGGTTTATAATGAATTTGGTGCTTTGGAAGGCTGTATTATAGGTGGAATATTTACTTTTTCATTATACAGGTAATTTTAAATAAGTTCCTTTCACAGTAAATACAGAAATTGTCTGCCCTGTGGGTCACAATTCTAGGTGCTTTTCATTCATACTTACAGGTGTATCTGCCAGGAACTGGGCTACCCCTGCTTGGCCAGACCCTTTGCTATTGTTTCTTATCAGTCAGAGGCTGTACCCATTTGACTTTTTGGCTTACCAGCTCCTCCCAGGGTTTTCCATCTGTCACCTGACAGCTCACCCATTGAATTTACTATCCAGCATCTTCTCAGGTGTCTTGTTGTAATCTGACCTCTGTGCGTGGGCAGCCTTGGTTCCAGTGGAGTGTGCTCCAAAGCCTCCGCCTTTTGTTACCTTGTTCAAATGTAGCCAGTAGATGGTGCCGGCTTTCCTGCTTACAAAGCAGGATGTGATTCCCATGGCAGATTACTTTTGGCTTGATCTGAAGTCAGAGCTTGTGTTTGCACTTGCTCTTGAAATTTCCCCGTGTCTACAGCACCAGGCAGGTGGTAAACGGCTTCATGTTACCCCCTCAGTAACTAAAAGTTCTGCTGGTCCTCACCTGGCTCTGTATAGTAACTAATCCAGAAAAACCTAGAAAGATAACGAACTGCCTGTGGCATGGTCACTGTGCCAGTCCCTTGCCGCTTTACCTCTTAGGGTTGGTGAAGATGTGGTTTCTCTGAGACTGTATGGCGTCTGCACATGGTCCCATACAGTATCAGAGTGAAGTTCAGGTATAGGAAATAATTACAAACTTAGAAGCTTACAACAACATACATTTGACAGTTTCCGTGAGTCAGGAGTCCATGTATGGGGTAGCTGTCCAAAATCTCACCAGGTTAAAGTCAAGATGACAGCCAGCTGTGTTCTTCTGTGAAGCCGCCTTTGCCTAAGGCTACATGGCAGCTATGACTGGGCAGATAGGCAGGTGCAGCCAGGAGGGGCCCAGACACGAGGATGCCTGCTCAGCTGGCACCCCTGCTTAGAAGGAGTCAGTCACCTTTCAAGGTCAGTTAGGTTGTTGCAGAATTCAGTTCCTTGCAGCTGTTAAGACTAAGGTCCCCACTCTCCTCCTGCTTTCTATCCGGGGGTCCCTCCCAGCACCTAGGGGCTTCCCTCAATCTCAGAGTCTGGACAAAAGTGAAAATATAATGGAATTTCATTTCTGTCATTGGCTATTCTATCTGGCAGAAAAGAAGATGTAAGTAAGGTCCTTAATTATTTGAATTTGAGTGACTCAAACAAGATCATCCTTGGTGGGCCTACACTGATCAGGAGAGCGCTTAGAAGGGACTGGGCCCTTCTAAGGTAGAGAATTGAAGCATGAGAGAGATGATCCTGCTGGCTTTGAAGAAGGACTTGAGGGCAGCCCCTAGGTGCTGGGAGGGACCCCTGCCCAGACTCAAAGGGGAAAAGATTACGTAGGATGTATACAACGGGGGGTCACAAGAATTTTAGGGGCCATGTCTTAATATGGTCATACCTTCTGAGAAATGGTTTGTTAGATGTTTTCATCATTGTACAAAATCTTCATGGGATATCTTACTATACCATAGGATATATGGGATAGCCTCCTGCCCCTAGGCCGTAAACCCGGGCAGCATGGTATTGTTCTGAATTCTGTAGGCAACTGGAACACAATAATAAATATTTATGTATCTAAACATAGAAAAGATACAGTACAAATGCAGTATGTAATCTTATGGGATCACTGTCATATGGGTGGTCCGTTATTGTCTGAAATATTGTTACATGGTGCATGGCCATACTACCTACCACACTTCTCTTTTCTGTTTGAAATCCTTATCCATTACATCACCAGTCCCTAAATCTGTGTATTTTTTAATGGCTCTGGCTACATGATAGACTTTTGAAAATGAAGTAAGTCTTTGAAATTTTTTGTTGGTTGTACCTGCAATGACAAAGGGTACGTGAGGAAGATGATAAAATTTCTGAAATATTGATGTTCTTTCTAAAAATGCCTTTGGACAAAAGCAGGTACTAACATTGTTCATCACCACTGGTCATCATACCTCAATGAATACAATAGAAATACAAATGGAAATACCATCCATTAATTGCTCCTTAAGCATGGTTAGGACATGCTGGGAATTTACATAGTGATAATAGCTAAAACAATAGCAATATGTACTTTGAAACTAGATAAGCATCTATGTAGACCTGATACAGAACTCAATCGTGTAGCGTAAGAGGAGGCTGAAGTCATGGGTTCCAAGGCTGGAAATAAACAGCAGTGTTGGAAATTTGCATCACAAAAGGTAATAGGGTCACAAGTATCCCACACAGGGAGAGATGCCATAGCCAACCTCACAGCCCGAAGCACAGGTTGGAATGGTGCTCAACCATCTGTGAACACAGGCTTTAAGAGGTTATGGGTGCCTGCCTGGACTGCCGTCCATGTGGTGCTGGAGTCTTGGGACTGAGAGAGGCAAGCTAGATACAACCACCGTTAGGTGCAGGCATAATATCAACCCAAGGGCTTTGCAGCATTAACAGTTTATTATCATTGGGAAAAGAAACTTATTGGAAAACAGATCACTCACAGCAATAGACAAGCTCTTGAAGGTTTATAAATTGCCTGTGGAAAGTAAAGAAAGAAAATAACCACATGTTCAATTGCAATTGATTTCCACTCAGAAAGCTCATGTTACCCCCAGGGTAATTCCAGTTGCAGACGGGAGTACAAAACACACCCCTTAACAAAACACAGAGCTATCAACTGAGCTCTAGAAATAGAAACCAATACTTCTTACAGTTGTTGAAAAACTGCAGTTAGAATAGTCAGAAGTATTTAGAGTTGGCAGGAGAGTAATTGGAGAATAGAAACTTCTGGAAAATGGTACTCTCTGGGAATGAGCTCTGCACCATGAATTAAAAGACCTGAGGTCAGGTCTTGAATGTTACTAACCTGTCTGTGATCACAAGAGACTGTCAGTTGCTACCCCAGGCACTTAACCTGTCTGAGACTCAGGTTCTTTATGTGGAAAGGTGTGGGTGGGGGAACTTGAGGAATTCCAAGGTCCCTTCCAACTTCTAGAATATGATGATCCCAT